AGCAGTTCTCAACGTCCGAATTTATTTTGATGATGATGATGATGATGATGATGATGATGATGATGATGATGATGGCACACCATTCGTACACCGATGTAACCGCACACCGCATCAATCGCTCGAGGTTGCACGTCACGCTAGGTCGCAGCGCTCTCGCTGTCGCGTGCGGGCGCGGCGGAGCGGGCGGTGGGGGCGCTCGGACGGAGCGGGCTCGGCCCCGCAGGTCCCGCCACCTCGCCCGGCCGCGGAAGAGGCAGGCGCGACGCTGAAGAGGGATTTCGCGTGTGGCATTGTAGGCGTTTGAGGGAGGCGGCCGGCAAGCGCCAGGCGACGCGCCGGCTGCACACCCCGGCCCGGAGCGTCCCGATTGCAGCCTGATGCGTTGCCATCCTAGGCGTCGCGAGGTCGAGCACGCCAGAGCCGTGTGTGATGACCAACCCGTTGACGTGGGTGGGGCGTGGGGCATCCCTCCTGGCGAGCGGCCGGGCGGCGCAGCGCGCGAGCCGCGGAGTCGACAGGACGTCACAACGCGACGGCCGCGAAGGCAGGGGGGCGGCGACGAGGGAGGCGTGGCCCGTGCGCCGTGCCCGTGCTGAGCACGGTGGCGGCGCCGGCCGGGGCCGACGTCGAGCAGCTGTACCGTCCGGCGTTGCCGCCCTCGAGGGCGTCGCTGCGCGAGGCGGGGCGCCGGCGCGCGGAGCTCAAGCAGGCGGAGGCCGAGGCACCGGCCGCGATGAAACGCAGGCGGGAGGAGGAGTGCGTCGAGCGGGAGGCGGAGCTTCTTGCGCCGCTGGCGGCGGCGGACGCGCCGAGGGGCAAGCGGCGGCGAAGCGTGCTCGCTGCGGCCGTCATGCACGAGGCGATCCCGGACGGACAGGCAGCGGTGCACGAGGCCAAGCCGGTGGGGGCTCACGGTGCCAAGAAGTGCAGGGAAGTGATCCAGCGCTGGCGGGAGTTCGAGGCCGCCATGACCGAGGGGGACGAGGTCACGCGCAGCAACTGGCGGGCCGGCATGAGCGCCGGCTATCCGTCGACGCAGCTGACGCTCAAGTTCATTAAGTGGCTGCTCGTCACACGCATTTATCAGTCGCACTCGACGCAGCGAGATGGACGCGAGATGATCGGCCGGTCGGCGAACCAAGTGGGCCAGATGGCCACGTGGATGTGGAACCACGTCTGGCCGGCCCTCTTCAGCAGCGCCGGCTTCCCGACAGGGTCGGCGGCGTTGGCGTACTGGCGGCCGATCCTTCAGCACCTGGAGAGCCTTGTCGGGGGTGGCGGCGGAGGCGCGCAGCAGCTGGCGGGGGTGGCGATGGCGGCGGCTCAGGCGGTGCAGACGGAGGCGGGAGCGGACGTGTCCACTGTCGAATTGGCGGGCGACGCGGCGAGCCGGGCGGCGCAGCTGGGCGTACGCGCGGCGACGGCGTCGAGCACGACGCGAGAGCACCTCAACCAGACGGGCGAGTACTTGCTCCAAGACGCACTGCTGTGTGAGCCTTTCGAGGTCAACGAGTCGTTCGTGCTCAACGCGTACCTCGGGTTCGCGCGACAGACGAGGGCTCGCACTCTCCTCACCACCGCGCGCGCGCGCTGCAGCAGGAGTGCCGCATGCCGCAGTGCGACAATATGCCGCACTGCGACAACATGCCGCAGCTGCACCGCTTCTCCTGGACAGCCATCGAGTACTCGATCGATGGTCCACTCCGAGGGCGCGGTCAGCACCGCGCCGAATCTCTTTTGAGAGCCGGCGCGGATCGCGGATGCGGCTCAAGGCTCTGCCGGCGGGTCTGTGGCCTGGCGCCTGCCAGACTGCGGGTCCAAATACCCCGGCGCTCGCGCGCGCCACCGCCCGGGGTGGGATATCAGTTCGTGAGTCCTGTGTCCCCGTCCCTGTGCTCCACCTTCTTCTCCCGTGTCAGTCCCTGAGAACCCCATTATGTAGCGCCACCTCGTGAGCTGTCCTGTGAGCTGCGTGCTATGTGTCCAGCAGTCCGGACCCGGTGCTAAGGCCGGTGACAGTGTGCCTCGTGTCGGCTCCCAGCCAATCGTGTGCAGCGTGTGTGTGCGTGTGGGCCCGTCCTCCATGCTTGGAGGTGTGTAAGACTGACTGACTGACCTGATGTGGTACGTGAGAACCTTCCCAAAGCAAGAAAAACGAACTGTTCACGAAACCTCTCAAGCAAGGTCGAGCTCGCGGCCCCGAGCTCCACAAGCGCGTGGGCCTCGCTCGTCCTCAGCTCTAGCTTCACGCCCCTCAGCCACAGCATGCCCAGCTCCTCCGCCGACTCATGCTCTCGATCGGCTGTCGGCCCGCTACTACTGTTCGCACCGGTGACTCTCTCCGTCTCGCGCATCATTCTGCCCCATCCGAAAGCGCCCTCTGGCCTCACTAAAGAGAGCCCTGAGTCCGCTGTCCCCATATTTTACGATTAGTACGCTGGGGCCCCTCTACCGGAGTGCGGAAACGGACGCGGTTCCGGCGCTCATACTGAGTCGCTCAGAGGACCGCCCTCCCGAATGATTACGGCTGATCACAGTGCAGATTCGGAGAGACTCTCG